GGGCCTCGAAGTCCAGCGCCCTCAGCGCGAACAGCTGCCCATTGTCTGCGTTGATGGAGACCAGCGAGGCGAGGGGCAGGTGCGGGTCCTGGGTTGGCAGCAGCGAGTAGGTGATCTGGGCATTGGTGCCTGAGTCTCTGTCTGTGGCACTGATGCTGCCTATTTTCAGGGCAGGGCTGTTGTTCTCGCGCACCAACAGCCTGTAGGTGGTTTGTGTGAAAGCAGGTGCATTGTCGTTGATGTCAGAGACAAGGATAGTTATGTTGTGTTCAGTTTTCAACCTAGGTGACCCCAAGTCAGTGACTGTGATAGTGATGTTGTACTGGGCTCTGCTCTCTCTGTCCAATGGCCTCTCTGTCACCAAGGAGTAAAAGTTCTTAAATGTGGGCTTCAAGAGGAAGGGGAGATCGTTTTCTATGGAGCAAACCATCCTACCATTGTCCCCAGAGTCTGGATCAGAAACGCTGAAAATAGCAACTATACTCTCCAGGGAGTTTTCTGGGATAGAGCTGCTGAGTGTGGACATGGTTAGTTCAGGAGCATTGTCATTCACATCCACCACTTCTATGGCCACAGTGCATTCTCCTGAAAGGCCTCCTCCATCTGTGGCTGCAATTTCTATGATATAATGTTGGGTTGCCTCAAAATCCACTGCCCTTTGCAGACGAATTTCTCCTGATATTTTTTCTATAACAAATGGTTGCGAAACTTCATCACCTTCAAATAAGGAGTAGACAACACTACCATAATTTCCTGAATCTAAATCTTGAGCAGAGACAACAAGAACTAATGAGTTTATGGGACTGTTCTCAGGAACCTGTACCTCATACCGGGATTGTAAAAATTCAGGGGCATTATCATTGATGTCTACCACCTCAATGTGAACTGTGACAGTCCCAGACCTGGGTGGCATCCCACCATCCAGCGCTGTGAGGGTTAAACTGAGCTCAGACTCTTCTTCCCGGTCCAGAGCTTTCTCCAACACCAGCTCTGGGTATTTTCTGCCATCTTCCCGATTGTGAGTAGCAACACGAAAATTGGAGTTGGGGCTGATTGTGTAGTTCTGAACACTGTTGCTACCCATGTCCAAGTCCTGAGCTGATTTCAAAGGAAACACAGACCCTGGCTGGGCGCTCTCTGGGATTCTAAGGAACATTTCCCTGTCTAGGAACTCTGGAGAATGGTCATTTACATCCATGATTTGCACATCAATTTGAAACAACTGCATCGGGTTTTTGAGTAACAACTGGAAATGCAAAATGCAGGGTTCTGTAGCCCCACACAGCACCTCTCGGTCTAGTTTTTCCTGTAGAAGCAAATTGCCGGTTTTTACATTGAGCTGCAAGAGCTGTTTGCTGCCTTTGTGATGGATTCTCGCACCCCGAGTTGCCAGTTCCCCCACCCTGAGCCCCAGATCTTTTGCCAGGTTGGCCACAGAGTAGCCACTTTCTGTTTCTTCTGGCATGGAATATCTAATTGTCTCAGAGTCAACCTCCCACAAAAACAACAGCATAGCAAGAAAAATGACTTGCCTTTTCTGCAGGGATTTTGCTAGAGCAGTCTGCATTGTTCAAATCCGTCCAGAAGGTGCAGTTCCTTCAACTCTGTATACAATCCACTCAGAGGATTTGGTTAAATAATCTTGAGTTAAATATTTCTGTCTGACATGCACTTAGAACGATGCCTTGTCTGAAGATCTGTCTTCCGGAGCTCGCTTAAAATGCCTCCTTCTTTGGGGGAGCTCTCCGAGTTCTGATTCCCAGCTCAATGGCGTCCCTGGCATCCAGAGCCCATCATTCACTTGCTTATCCTGCAGCGCCACCAGGCGTCCTTACTTACTATTGCATATAATATTTGCCATTTCATTCCAAATTCTAAACCTGCTGTGTATCAATACCCTTTTAATCACAAAAGCACCCTTAATTGTATCTCCAAGTTATTAGAAGTTATAAGTAAACCTTTTCTGAGTGAATTTTCAGTGGAAAAATACTTGTTTAACTAATGCATGCCTCCAGTTCTTGGGACTTGGGAGCCTGAAGCAGGATCATTGCATAATCAAAGCCAGGCCAGGCAAGGTAGGGAGACCATGTCTCAAAATAAAAAATAAAACGGGCTGGGGATTTCTCTCAGTGGTTAAGTGCCCCTGTGGTCAATATCTTGTACCATAAATAAATAAATAAACAAAGAATATGATATTAATCTTCTCCATAAAAGTACCTTTTGCATACAAAAAGGAACTCTCTTTGTTGGTTCATAATTTGATTACATCAAAAATTGGAGGTAGATCCACTCATATAAATATAATGTAGATTAAAAATAAAGTGCTGCCCAAAGTCAGGAAGTCTGAGTCTCCTTCCATTGTCTGAATACTAAATTTCCCCCAAAACATAAGCTCTTTCCTAATTATACTGTCATAGTTTTTTTTTTGTTGTTGTTGTTGTTTTCTTTCTTTTTTTGCTTTTTGTACTTTGACATATATGGAGTTATAGAGCATTACTTTCTTATTTCTGTCTTCTTTCCTTCAACATTATATTCATAAAAATTATAGCTGGCATGTCATTCTGATGTGTTTTATTCTCATTGCTTTCTAATGGTTTTATGTATGAACATATCATGATTTGTTTATGCATTCTCCAGTTCACGATAATTAGTGTTTTTCTAGTTGAGCATCCCCTTTTTTAAAGTAGTATTGTTACAAACCTTCCTGAACTTGCCTTTTGGTGACCATGTCTGTTTTTATACTGAATATATTTAGATTAATCATTTTGCTATGTATATGTATACATACACACACACACATATATATGTATATACACACATATATATGTATTTAGTTTTAGC